GGAGGAGGAGGAGGAGGAGGAGAAGAAGAAGAAGAAGAAAGTAAAGAGCTTTGCTGTTTTCCAGCCTTGGTGTAGTTTTTGGACTATTTCATCCTTACAGACACTGCAGCCTGCTTGAGTAAGTGAGGCATTAAACCCAAGACTGAAAAGTCTTCGTAGTGATAGACACACAGCAGAAAAGTAGTGAAATAATTTTCTGTTGTTACCGAACAACTACACCAACTCTAAATTTTTCAACATTCAGATTTCCCTTTATGGCTTAGAGCCTGATACATTTTCTTGTACTGACTTGAAAATTACATCAAATTAAAACAAAAAACAAAAAAATAAATAAACAAAAAACACAAAGTTACACAAATTATCCTGAGGTGTTTACGAAGAGGTGATTGAGACAACCTTTGGCCTCATTAGGAACCCAGGAAGCATCATATGCTTCTGTGTGTATGTTTTTGGGGAGACTGAAGCATGGAGGAGCAGAAAATATAATTGACGAGAAGAAAATATATATTGAAAATGTCACTGATTATGTCTTACCTTGGCACTTTAGCCATGTTGTGTCAATGTCTAGGGAAACTCAAACCATTGCAAAGAATTTAGGAATTTTATTTTCATTTTTCTTTTTATATTGTAGCTGTGTTATACTCCTATATTTTCCTTAATTGCTCCCACCTCCAAGGGATGTTGCTATAGAATATTGGTAGGAAACAGGACAAATGAATGTGCAGAAACATGTGGAGAGCAGGACACCATTAATCACACTATTGAGAGCAGAGTGAATTTGTCTTGTGGGTCCCTGGGAGAATCACAATCTTTGTAACACATCTGATCCAGCCTGTTCTTGCCTAAGATTAAAGTCATTTAATGTTTCTCCACTGGCTGAGATAAACCAGCACAGCAGCTGTGCCAGGCCCTGTGCAGCCCCTGCTGATTTGCATATGTCAGAGCACAGTCAGATGCCCTGAGCACTTCTTAAAAGGCTGCTCACAGCCTGTGCAGGAGTCAGTAGCAGTCAGGAGAGAGCATGGAAATGAGGGCCCCTACTCAGGTCCTGGGGATCCTGATGCTCTGGCTTCCAGGTAAGGAGGGACAACACTGGGAATTTCCTCAGCACAGTGTAGTCAGCGTTTCTTGACTCTTCAGAGAAGTTTTCTTAAAACCTGATTGATTGTGTTTATGTTTCCCATGTCAGGTGCACTATGTGACATCCAGATGACCCAGTCTCCATCCTACCTGTCTGCGTCTTTAGGAGACACAGTCACCATTACTTGCCAGGCCAGTCAGAGTGTTAGAAATTACTTAAACTGGTATCAACAGAAACCAGGGAAAGCTCCTACTCTCCTGATTTGTAATACTAACAATTTGCAATCTGGAGTGTCATCTAGGTTCAGTGGCAGTGGATCCAATACAGATTTCACTCTCTCCATCAGCAACTTGGAGCCTGAAGATGTTGCAACTTATTACTGTCTACAGCATAATAATTTCCCTCCCACAGTGATATAAGCAATAACAAAAACCTCCCAAAGAAGCAGAAGTGTGAGGCTGGGCTGCCTCAGCTGCTGCTCCTGGTTCTCCTACCTAATGAAAACCTCTCCTAGATGCAGCCAGACTTTCAAAGTCACTGGAGGATTTGGTAGAAGATACTAGAAATTCTCTTCTGAACCTTAATGGCCTTTCCACCTTTTCTATCCTATCAAACCAGAATATCAATGCCTTTTCTCTTTAGAAAGATTATTATATCTGAGGAGTCTGTGTTATGGCATCATTTGAAACTCACAGAGTAAAAGAGAAGATGTTCAACTTAATCCAAGCAGGGATTAATTTAATACAGAGAATTATACCGTATTCAACAGTTTTACTGCCCTGAGGTAGTGAGAGAAGCTGAGAAGTGAGAGTCACATCTTTTTTCCCCCTCTGGTGCCCCCAGAACACATTAACACCAATAGGAGCCATATAATTCTCTGGCCTATAGAGAAAGTTCAGGGGAGGAATGCTGGTTCTCTCACTTGCCCAAATCACCTCTCTGCGTAAGTATTTAGCTTTCAATTTTGTTCACATATTTACCTACTGATTTCTGTAAATGCTAAGTCTTCTTCTGTCTTTCAAATCTTACAGGATTATTGTTACACAGTCACCTGTACAGCAAGCATAGAGGTACAAGTGGTTCTGAGAAATTTATTTTCCAAGGTGATGGTGAAAGTGTAATCGACAAGGAACAGTCCTGTATGTCACTATTGCCCCATATCTCAGATTTTTTCTAGTTATAGAGCATCCCCCAAATATTCTTGAATGTGTTTTCATTTATTATCTGTGAATATGAGATCATATCATACAATATAAACAAGTCATAGACAAAACTAAAAATAACGGGATTATAAGAAGTATGTAGATTTTACTTACACCAGAGAAATTATTCGATATTTATATGTGTGACTTATTTATTTCACTTAAGAGTATGATCTCAATATGAATAGTTTCTCTGGTGTGAAAAACTAAAAGTGTAAATAAGATGCAAATGGTATAAATGACACTGTGAAATAGGAAGAAAATGGCTAAAGGTGTAGGGGAAGTGGGAAGGGTAGGGGAAAGGGAATAAGGGAAAAGAAAAAATATGAGAAAATGAAAAAATGGAAACAAAGTTTTTGTAAATAGGGAAGGAAGGAGGGGGTAAAGGGAGGACAGGGGTATGGGGAAAAATGAGAACCAAGACCTGTCATGTAAAGGTACAAGATCCCAATGATGGATGTAACTGTACTGTACACCTAAAATGTACCAATAAACTCAATGAGAAAAAAAAAGTATGTAGAAATTTACCCATGAAATTTCAATTTACATACACTCAAGAAAATTCCTTCACAAAAGTAAACAGAAAGAAGAAAACACACACAAAAAAATAAAGAATTTATAAAAAGAAATACTTGAAATTATGTAATTTTTAATTACATAATTATGTTTTATTGGTCTTCTTATTTTAAATGATTTTTCCAAATACACTTTTTTTTTTGCTGCTGCTGAAGGTGTCCCCACTTCTAGAAGCATTGCTGATGTTACTGAGAGCATCTTGTGTATGTATACAGGATAGAAGATCCTGCTCAGAGCGCTGAATGACGTCAGGATTTTAACAGGGTCACAGGATTCACAGAGGGTTTGAGTTGCTGTTGTGGTGCACACATAATTAACTTTAAGAGGTTTGTGCCTCCATGGGGACATTTAACAGTTTAAGAAAATTTCTATTTAAAGCTACATGCTGAAAATATACTAAGCTTTCTTTTATTATCAATGTAAAATATATTTGGAAACATATTTATAAGACAAAAGTTAAAAACTCATTGGGTTTTTTTTCATAATTTAATCAAACTTTGATAACTAATTGTAGTAAGTATTTTAGAATCATCAATAATTATCAAATTGGAAGAATGAATCAAAATAAGAGGAATTTACATTAAAAAATATTGGTGGTAAACTTAACAGAGTAGCTTGGTTTGGGGATGTTACTCATTCTTCAACTTGCCAGAGGCTTCTGTGTCCTGGTTGTCTCAGCCCTTCAGCCTGGGGTTCAGATCAAGATGAATTTATAGTCAGAACATCAGCTCAGTGTCCCAGATAGATTCAACAAAGACTCACCTTCCTGAACCAGACAGATGATCCTTAACGTGAACATCCATGAACAGGACAATAGATGCTTAGTTTCTTGTTTTGTTTTGTTTTTGGCAGGGTTTAGTAAAAATAATTACTGTGACAAAGCTAGCTGTATTTATACATCCATACATATAGATATACTGATTTATAAAACTGGGGACATAGAACTGGTTAGTTAAGAATTTATTCAGAAAGAGATATATATGGAGGAATTTTATAAACTTGTAAAATAAATATTCCAATAAAAAGAATATTAATTTTATTTGTGGAAAAATTTACTATAGGTAGTTGGGACTAACATATCTTTAGTTATACTTAAAATTATAACCACAATACACTCTAATACATGGCATAGACATCCTAAATTATGAAGTCTACATTTCATAAATAAAAGACTTTTTCCAGATGGGATGGCACTCACCTATCATCTCAGCACCCTAGGAAGTCGAAGGAGGGTCACAAGTTTGACCCATTGTGGGCAGCTGAGACACTGACTGAAAATAAAAATGAAGTCATGGATGGAGCTGAATATGAAGGCAATGGGATCACTCCTGAGTACCACATAACAAAACAAAAGAAGTTTATAAATATATCGGTACAGGTCCAGAAATTTGCCCAGTGGTGCTGTGCATGCCTTGCAAGCACAAGGTCCTGAGTTCAATCCCTGATACAAAAAAGAAAATAATTAATAATAATAATATATATACTCTCACACACAAATATATATATATATATATACATATACAATTCTTACAAGTGTGTATATAATCATGATTAATTAATGGGTGCACTTATATAATAAAAATTTGTGTTTAAAGTAACATGACTATGCATGTATATGCACATTTAAAAAGTTTTTCTTTTTCTAGATGTATAATACATCTCTGATTTTCCACAATCAATATTAACATCCATGTGCAGATACAGTATTTGCTTCCTGAAATTTTTGTGATATTTGTTTGTAAATCATTTGTTAAATTGATATGCCCACCTGAAAATATGGTAATACACCTGTAGAAGGCCATAGGATCAAGATGGAGACAATCCGCTTAATGTAAAAAGTTAGCTAAGGCAGAAGGATTGCTCTGAGTTTAAGGCCAGCCTGGTCTACAGTCTGAGTTCAAGGCTAGTCTGTACTATATAAGGAAGCACTTTCTCGAAACAAACAAACAAACAAAAAATAATAAAAAGTTAAGACATTCCAGTTAGTGGAAATTCCTATGAATTAAGCATTTGATTTTCTTTCATCTAAAACAAAAACTTTTTCTTCAAGACCAAAGAACTCTTGACTAATCTTATAGAGATAGTAATATAAAATATAGGTATTAATGCAAAGCACGAAACAATCTGAATGACTAGAGAATTAAACCACTTGCCTCAAAGGTGATGTGGATGATAGCACTTGTCCTAGTAAGGAAATTCATAGCAGAAGCTTAAAGAGAGGAAGTTTGAAGTTCTATTTTTTTCAAAATGAAAGCTTTAAATGTCTGCTTTTTTCTATAAATATTATTCTAGTACCTAATCACTTGTTACATGAACAGTTGACATGTGTCTGAGCTTTGGATTGAATAAATTTTCTATTCTTTTAGCAAATTATTAGAGGACAGGATTTTAAGTTAGAATTGTATAATTTCTAAATTAATATATTGTGCAGGCTGTTCTTTGGGCCAGTCATTTCTAAATAATTTTACAAAAATGAACTCTGGAAAACTTGTAGGACAATGACTTCAATTTACAGGTTATTCTTTGGTCAAGAGTGACCCCATTTAGAACAAGCAAAAATCCTGGGTCTATCTGCATGTTACTGATTTAAAAGGACATGTACCCTGAAATGATCATATGTATGTAGATAATGTGCTTCAATTAGTTCATCCTATAGATAAAAAGAGCAACATAGAGACACAGAGGTACTTATTACTAAGTATGAAGAATGATCAAGCTAGATATTTAAGATTGAGAGAAAAACCCTTCAGTCCCAATTCCTGGGGTTTAACCATAAAGGTCAATAAAATGAATATCCATCAAACTAATATTCTTGTTAATGGAAAAGAAATGTGGAGATGAGAAACGCAGACTGCACTGACATCAGTGAGGAGTGATAAAGACCGACATCTCTGATCTGGATTCCATCACAATAGACAGAAGAGGGGCCTGCTTGAAGGGTCAACGTACACAATTATCCAGATATCCATGGAATCTACTCTTTGTAGCTTAAACAAGAAAAACAACAGAAGATGTAATAAGAAATCCCGCAAATTTATAAATCCAGTTATAGCAGAGCAAAGAATGGAGAGATAACCCAGAAGGTTGCATTTTATATTTAATCTTTCAGGTGTCACAACAAGCTGGGAAGATGAAATCATGCATTGCTCATGAGACAAACATTTTTCTCTGCCACTTCAAAACTGCTTCTATATCTCACTACTATACATAAAAATTTGCATATTTCTGACATGTATGAGCCTCTCAACACCACTGAAGCTATATAATGCATGCTGATTGGGAAATGAAGTGTCACCTGAAGGTGAGAGTAAAGGTTATGTTGTCCCAGCCTCAGTTTCTTCTTCCTCTGGATTTCTGTCTTCTAATTCATGGATTTAAGTCGTTAGAATCTCCAACAAATGTTGCATATTCATAAGAAATTGTTTTTCTTCAATTTTCTCCAAAATTAATGCATATAACTTTGGTTTCCTACTTTCCTCCACTAGCAGATTGCCTGACAGAAACTACAGTCAGTCTCCAGCACTCCTGTCAGTGGCTGTAGGGGACAAAGTCACCATCAACTGCAAGACCAGCACAGACATTGATGATGATATGAACTGGTATCAACAGAAACCAGGAGAAGCTCCTAAACTCCTCATTAA